AAGGGTTTGAACTAAATGCGCTACAGGGTCTTAAATAAAAGGCACCAGCAATTAAACAGAATAATTATACAAAATAAAATAGACATATATGTTCATACATACATATATATACAGGGCTATCTATATTCGACAGACCCATCTGGCAACCCTATATATTTTAAATTAGTAAACTAGAATTTATTGCATCTCACTTATCTGCAGCTCTTTTGAGCCTCGCCCAGTAAGAAGTGCAACAGCTCAGTCCATCACGAGCTATTACATCTCACACATTCCATTGATTACATTCCTACTCTTTCTCTTTGAACTTTCTCTCTCTCACTCTCCGTCCCTTACTCTCTTCTTTAAGCTCTAATTTATTGTACCTAATCTGAATAGCTTATATTACAACTTAAGAAACAGTATCCACTTAGCTAAAATCAATTTATAAAAACAATGTTGCTACAAGATCGATATTTATCGATATGACAGTCTATGCCTATTCAGAAAGAAGCCACATGAGTTAAATTCCTATGTCAAATATATAACACAATTAGCCAACATCTGATAGTCTGGCAAGACTAGCAGCAATGCAGAAATACAGTTTGCGATAGAGTCGGCTTAATCAGCCTCCAACACAGCTTTAGCTTAACTAATAATACATTATCTGTCTGTCTTTCTCTCTCTCTCACAGACAGTAGATTCAGCTGTACATATCGATACAGCGGTCGTCGTTTAGCCCACACACCGCGCCGCGCCCTGCACTACCTACCCCCTTTCAATGGCACCAACCAGGTGGATTAAGGACAACAACGTCGCAGTCAGGCACATCGTTTGCCTCCTGCTATCCGCAGCCATTTGCTTATATTAAAACCATTTTTCGCTTATTACCAAAAAATTTAAATATTTTGAAAATAATAAACTGCGGGTGAGTTACTAAGTGGCTAAGGCCCGGCATGGTGTGGGCGCTTCATATATCCCAACTCATAAGCATTGGCATTGGCATTGGCAGCCGCAGCCGCAGCCCCACACACAAGAGATAGAGCGAGAGCAAACATTGTTTCGGACGACGTTTGGGCAGCATCAGCAGCAGCAGCAGCAGCGGCAGCGGCAGCATAATGCTTAGCATGCTCTGGCCCACCTTTTAACCCAATCCATGGCATGCGATGCCATTACTAATCCTCCCAAACCCAAATGTGGCTCGCGTGCGCTGCCGCGACGCTATCAGCGCGCCTCGTGTTGATTGTCGCGCGTTGCCATCAATGTGGCCAATGTGCAGACCACCCAAAGCCACCCACCCATTCACTGCCAGCTGCCACTGCCACTGCCGCTGCCGCTGCCACCTGCCTGCCACGCCCATTCCGTGGAGATTGTGGCTGCCGTTGCTGCCATATCCATTTAGCCGGTGTTGCGGGTCGCCTCGAAGCTCTGCTCATTATGAGCATCCCGCCTGCCAAACACGATAATGATGATGCTGTTCACGATACAGCTGACGCTGACGATGACGATGATGATGATGATGATAATCGCGCTGATGCTGATGGCCGACGCGTCGCATAGTGTCATATTTTTATGATTTTTATGTTAATTCATAACCAGCCCGCATCGCGGTTGTCTGCGCCCGCCTCGCGCGCTGCCAAATGCTTTTTAATCCTTTTAATGAAAATTAGTTCCTCTCAATATCATTTAATATATTTTCTTTCGCTTGGGTTTCATTACCCCCGTCCTGGCCCCGACCCCGGCCCCGGTCACAGTCCCAGTCCCGGTCTCGGTCCCTGCTCATACTATTCCAGTTCCTCTTCTGTTCTGTTGTTTTCACAGGCATTATCATAATTTCTGTTTGCAACCCTAAATCAACACTTGCCCCATGCTGCGCGTCTCGATAAAGGGTTACTGACTGGGACAATCCCCACCTACAATCCTCCTGCTTCTTCTACCGGCTAACGGGCATGGGGTATGCATATATACATATACATATATATATCACAAGGCGCTCCAGTTCCAACTCCATGCCTTTGTCTTTCGACCTTTTGCGTTTGATTTTCTATGCGGCGTTAAATGCCGCAGTCCTTCGCCTTGTCTCTTCTGCCTCTGCCGCTGCCGCTGCCGCTGCCTCTGTCTCCGCTGCTGCCTCTGCTGTTGTCGTTCACGTGGCTTCTTTGGCAAATTGAAAACCCAAAAGCAGTAAAAATTAATGTCCGTAGCGAAGGTGTTGCCATATTTCTTGCCAACTGCCAGAGCTCTTTCTGCAGCAACAAAGTAGCCAAAGACGCAAATGTCTCTGCGTCTCTTTAGCTGCCTGGAATGTTAGCAATACAAATTCAATATTTGAATACATAAATTGCATAGAGAATACTTCTAATACTATCTCACAATTTAGAATATCATTTATTTCAATTTTACCAATTTCTTTTCAACTAACTCCATCCGCTATTAGCTCCCACTTATATCCAAAGATGTAATCAAAGCAACAAGTAAGATTCTCTTGTTGTATGACTTTTGTTCTAAATGCACTTTCTAAAGGATATTTATGGAGCTGTGCCTATTGGCCAATGCATAAGTCGCTTCTATATGTAATATGCATATTTCTCGTAGGGAAAACGGACTAAAATCCTCAGCACTCTAAAAATGTATGTCTTTACGATTGGAGCCTGCGCAGACAATTAGGAACTTCAAGCTTTGACAAATACTAAATACGAAATATGATAGATATTTATCTATAATAGTTAAAGTTATCGCAATAAAATAATATGACGTGTACTGCCAATGGTATACACGAAAATATGTATATTGCAAATGCCAAATTTCATACGGCTTAAAAGAAAACACGAGCAGCCGAACAAGCTTAGAGAGAGACGGACGGATTAATGTATGAACGGACGGAAGGATAAACGGATGCTTGAAGAGACAGACGAATGGTCGAGCAGACAGACGAAGGGTCGGACGACGGACAGACGTACTGGAGGATTCCAGTTTTGCTTTAGCTCTTCACTCAGATCAAGTATATCTAAATGTATAAACATATATACATATATTTCATCTAGTATCAAGTATATCTATATGCATATAAATATATATTTCATCTACCGCAGCTCTCTTTCTGTCCCTTTCTTGCAATTTCATAAAAGCAATTCATTATAAAATTTGTTTAAATTTATTAACAAATTTGTGTATTTCACATACTTATATTGATTTCGATCTACTTATTCGATGCTTAAAGGAATGTAGTAGTATTATTCGGATCTAATGAACAATTGTGCTTAATTATTCGCTTAATAATAATTGTTGAGACTTATCTAATTTGATTGAATGCCACTTGCTGTGGCACGCAAAGTTATATACCAGATCAAACTTGTTTTGGGGAGCTGATCATCGCTACAGCTTCACATGTTGGAGTCCAAATAAAAAAAAAAAAACTTACTACCTATCTACATTCTGGGCTTTCACCACTTTTCGTCCGCATTACATAGGCGTTCCGTTCAAATTCTTGGTTCTGAAACAATTTTTGCAAAACGTGATTCGATTCATCGATTGGACTGGCCGAATTTTAGATGCACGACAGTGCACTATGAATTAATAGATTCTTGTATCTAATGGCAGTTTTGAGGTGTGTGTTTGGGTGCTATGAGATAGCATGCTTAAGTCTAAATTTGTTGAGGTCAATCACGGTTTCTATTATGATTACACGTGCTGATGGGACTTTGTCCGAGGCATATGATATGGGGGGAAGCGGTAGATCGAAACATATGGACGGCATTCTATGCAATTTCAGGTCCAATAGATGTTTTCGTACGCATCCACATACTCATTTGCTTACTCCTGCGGGGGACCCAGTTCCTGTTTAGACCTCATGTAAACCATATCCTGATCTGGCTTGATATTGGCTGCCTGACGCCTCCTGGTGGCCGCAACCCGCATCGCCACCTCCCAGTCGCGTCCCATCGCGTTGCGTGTGCGCTCGTCCGGGCTTCGCATAAACTGTTCACGCAACGAGTGCGGCTCGGTCTGGCCAAAGTCGGGCTTATAGCGTCGGGGATCGCGCGGACGCAGCCATCTGGTATCCATGTGCTGTGGATCGCTCCACATGTTGTCCTCGCGCACTAAACGCTTCGGCTTCGCCATGTCCCTCTTGAAGGCCTCCACAGTGCTGGTCTCCGTGCGATTGGGCGTGCCACCAACATTTTGTCCTGATCCCATTGTGGTTTTATTTGTTCCACTGCTCTTAGAGAATCCCTTCTTCGAGGTAAATGCAATGTGTCGTTTGATCAGCATTCGTGATGCATCTGTCCGCACGTACAAGCCACCAACGAGCCTTATCGATGAACGCTGCATGATTTGAATCCTTAACCGGGCAGAGCCACATTCAATTAGATACAAATCTTTTGCGCGCTTTAACGCAACTGCAATATTTACCTGAATATAAAAGTTCACTGCTGTAATTTCAAAATAAAAAATTCAATAATTTATTTTTTTTATTCTTCAATCTATCTTGAACCGAAATTTGTGAAGGTTTTTTCTACTTTTCAGAAAAAAAATTTTTTGGTTTCACATGTGATCTGTACTTTGAATGGGAACCGAATGAGCCTGATATGAACAGCTTCAATTGTATCACAAATGTCGCCTGGCGGCGCCTACTATGCACAACAAATTTCAGCAACTGGGAGTTTTGCTGAAAATCATGAAATGGAACTGTGAGCATAGTAGGCCAGAATTTATTTGAAGCTGTGCAGGCCCTAAGCACAAAGCAGGCGAATTTATTTATCATAAATTGACAAATATTCAGTAGACAAAATTAAGGAAATACTAAAAATTCCATTGAAATCCATTAAGTAATACAAAAGTTATTAAACAAATAAATTTGTTTCTTGTGAATATTCCAAGGCGTACAGCTAAAGATATGATTCGTTCAGGGCATTTAGAAGTCGTCATGGCTAGTTGGAACGAAGCCAACACTCAACTGCTTTGCAATTCGAATGATAGAAATGAAGCCTAGGCAGATCTCTAACTCTGCTCTGTCGACAGTCCTTAGTCCTCTATTGACATTGTCAACTAACCAGAGCAGAACGAATCTTTTGAGCTTGTCTGCGAAAATTTCTATGCATGCAACATATTATTATCATATACATATGTATGTGTGTGTATGGTTGGGTCATATGGAGGCGGGCTAGCCTTTTGAGGTCGGGTCTAGAAGAAATTGCACATCCGCTGCAACCATTGCAGAACCATTAACTGCCTGAGTGAGCGGCGGCTCTTGGAACTTGGAAGCAACGCGACTTAATCGCAGATGCTTGAACTCTTTTTGATTTTACATATACAAATAAACACAACAGCGAATGTGTGTGTGCCTTCGCACAATTGCACAATTATGTTAAATATCGACAAGTGGCAGGGAGGCCAGCAGACGCTTTTGTTGTGCCGCAGGCAAATATTAATGACGACAGGTATTAAACACTCGAAGCAGCCACAGTTGCAGTTGCAGTTGCCGTTGCAGCCGTTGCAACAATCGAAACGATTCAGCAGGCCCCAGCATGTAATACAGGTTGAGTGGTTTATAATTTGGCACAGCTTTGTTCGCTCCTGCCATCCAGCTAACTGGGTGAAGTGCTTGAAGACCAGACCCCCAGAGCCCAGAGCCCAGCCCCACCCACTGGCAGCCAAAGGACTTTTGCTGTAATCATAGCGAGTGCCTAGCCTCAATCTGACACGGCTTAAGTATATGGCAGCTATATATAGAATAGAGCACACACATTTTAATTTAAGACCAGCTGCTCAGAAATCAAGTCGGAATAGCATGTCACTCGATGAGTCCAATTAAATAATTTTGTGACAAGAGAAATTGCCTTTTGCTTAACTCTTTTTATATGGAAAAAGTCTTAAAATATATAATATA